GCGGGGTGTTGCGGGGCCCGCGCCCCGCCCCAGCAGGGTTAACCCCTTCTCTGCCGCCGCTCCCATGCCTGCTGCAGTCCCCGCAGGAGCCGGCTGCGCTCAGCCTCTACCGTCGCAACAGACTCTCTTGCCCCCCCTCCTCCTCCTCCAAGCGCCAACTAGCCTGCTGTCTGTGAGCACTGCCCACCTGCACTCACTCTGGACGGTGATTTGACGGCAGCTGAGATTCTCCCCGAGGATTGGCTGGCAGGATTGTCACTGATGATGAAAGGAGGGCGCAGCTTCGAAATGCCGCTGTCTTCAGGTTTGCTTGAGAGCAGAGGTTACCAGTTAACAGAGTCACAATGGCTTGTACGCATGCCTGTGGCAGAAATGCATGCTGGGTAGTGTAGTTTTCCAGCTGCAACTGGGAAAGAGGCGGGTGGTCAGGGGGCGTGTCTTCTCCCGAGCTGGTGCGGGAGGCGACAGAAGATGGATAGAGCCCAGGGGCAGAAGCCGCGGTTCCGAACTGACTGTAACTTACCAAGGCTGCCCGCTCTGCTCCGTTCCCGCGTCACGTGCTGCGCCCGTCGCCGCCCCGTTCGAGCGCCTGCTGCATTTGGAGCATCTCGCCTCTGCAGCCGCAAAACAAGAGCAGGGTAACTGCGCCCCACTGCATCGCCAGCTCCACCCTCAGCAGCGCTCCAGCGCCAGCCCGCACATTCCGGCCGGCGAAACGGAGTTTATAACTCTCCGCTCGCAGCGCCTGTGGATGCTCCGCAGTGGAGTCTGTGCTAGGAGCAAGCACTGAGGGGACGGTAGGGTCCCAGAGGCACGATTGACAGCTGTTACATGTACTTTGTTCTCCCTCTCCCCTGCCTCTGGAGGTTTGCTCCTTTTGTCTATGGCCAGCAGGGGTCAGCAACCTTTTAAAACCCATGGGCATCAAAATTCAGAACAAGTAGTCCACCCATGGCCCCTATAAGAATGCCCATTTGCATGACTGAAAATATACAACTTAATATTATTGATAAGTGACATGATTAATAATAGCATAAATTATATTCAAGCACTTTAATAGGACTTCTGCTGCTGCATCATCTTTTTGCACATTTCATAGAATACCAGGACTGGAAGGGACCTTGAGAGATCGCCTGCCCGCATGGCCAGACCAAGCAACAACTAGATCAGGGGTGGGTAAAAGGGCCTCCATGCGTTAAATCTCCATCCCTGCCAGGGGCATGCAGCACTTAGTCAACCCTGGTGGTTGACTCTAAGTACTGTGCACCCCTTGCAGGATGGGGGCAGGGCGGTAGGAGACTTCCTGATTGGCTTGGGGGTGGAGGAGCATGCAAAATCTCCTCCCATCGTACAAGGGACACATGGTGCTTAGAGTCAACCACCAGCTACTGCTCAACTGGCACCCCTTTGCGGGCGGGGGGTTAAAGAGGAGGCATAGGGATTGAGAGACTTCCCATGCGCTCCCCACCCCCAGGCCCTTTCACCCAAAACCCCACTCCTGCAGGCAGGGGCAGCCCAAGCCCTTTTGGCACCCTGTGCCCGGGTGCGCAGTACTATCCCCGGGCACACGGCGCATGTTCAGGCCTGCTCCCAGTGCGCATGGCGCATGCACACCACAGCCACTGGCATGCAGTCTGGGGCCCGCCCCCAGGGCGCACGGCACATGCGCTGCCCAGCCTGGCCCAGCTAGCACTGCTGGCGCAGGCACCGGGCCGTGCAGGGCCCCATGACCGTGGGGGGAAGGGCGCTGCTAGCCGGCACCGCGGGAGCCGGGCGTGCAGCGCCTGATGGCAGCTTTAAGGGACGCTGCATGCCCCTTACAGCTGCCATCAGGCACCCACCATCGGTTGGCGCCCCAGGCAGCTGCCCAGCTCAGCCATGCCTCAGTCCAGCACTGCCTGCAGGGGAAGCTCAGGGCCACTTCAAAAATTTCTGAAATGGCCCTCCCCCTAAAATTATTGCCCACCCCTGAACTAAATCATCCTTGACATCTCTCTCCAATCTGCTCAGTGTTGAGCGCAAATTACCTTTGACATGATTCAAACAAGAAAAAGCCTACCCTCACATATAGGTGGAGCCATACATTCAAAGTAAGACCAAGCTGACAGTCCTGGACACAATCAGGAATCAGTTAGGGGACACTAAAGAGAACCATGGACAGCACTCACTGCTCCTCAAAGTGTCTCTTAGGGAACCAGCACAAGCCACCCATAGGAACTCGGCCTGGCTACATGAGCCAAGGAAGGAAAAGAGGTAGGCTCCATAGTTGCAAAGTAGCCCCTCATCCAGATCCTCCACCTGGTATTACAGATGGCCATTTTGGCCAGTACCTGGAGATGGTTAATGAGGAAGTCTCACAACTTTGTGGAGTCTCAGTCAAGGTGTCCATAGATAAGATGATGTGGGGGAACATGCAGCCAGAACCTTGGGAGAAGGTTCTGGTGGAGCTAGAAAATGAAGCTCTTAAGCAGCAGTGAAGGAGTCAGTACCAAAGATAACTATAACTAACTTGACTCTGACTTCATCAGCTAACTTGACCTAATAAATAGTACTAGTCCATGCAACGAAAAGAGAATTCAGTTTCCACTACTGCTATTCATCCATATTTAAAATATCTTCTTCTAACCACTGATTTTATATTTGACAGATTATAGAATGAGAAAAACTATACAGAAATGTTTTAATTTGTTAATTTTTGAAAGTAGTCAGAAAGACCAGTCTTCTTTACGGATTCTAATTTCAGATGTATAGCAGGTTTCAGAGTCCATTACTGCTATGGACGTTTAAGCAAACTGTAGTGGATTTTCGGAAGAGTAGATCTTACTGTGCACATTTGTAATTTACTCTCTCTATATTTGTAAACAGTTTAGGATGGTGTCTTTTATTCCTAGAGCCAGTATATAAATTATATTGTCCCAAAAGCATTTATTCTGTATTGTTTGTTTAAACTTATAATTTTAAATTATTCCCCAAACGTCATGTTTTTGTATAAAGCGACCAACTTCACGCTGCTTGGCACAAAAAGGGAAAAACTGTACTTCTTTCTCAGGCTAAGTCTAGACCGCAGGCTTCTTTCAGAAGAAGCTTTTCAGGAAGAGATCTTCCAAAAAAACTTCTTCTGAAGGAGAGCATCCACACTACCAGAGCACACTGAAAAAGCAATCCGCTTTTTCAAAAGATAGCATCCAATCAGTGTGGACGCTATCTTGCATTTAAGCTGTGATTACTATGGATGAAGTGGTCACCAGGGCACCTGTGCTTTTCCCTCTTTCCTCTTCTTTCGAAAGAACGCCCGCTTCCCCGCCCACATATTCCTTTTTCTGAAAGAGCCCTTTCAGAAAAAGGCTTCTTCCTTGCAGAAAGAGGTTTACCAATGTTGGGAAAACCCCTCTGTTCTTTTAATTTTTTTTCAAAAGAACATGATTACAGTGTGAATGTAAGTGAAATTTTTTTTGGAAAAATAACCATTAACCAGGGGGTGGGGCTGCAGCAACTCCCCACCTGATGTGAGCAGGAGGCTGCTCTAGCTATTCGGGCCTTGCCATAGGCAAGGGCTGCTCCAGTATCCTAGCCACAGCAGCCTCTGTCCATGACAGGCCTGGATGCTCCACGAGCAGAGGCTACTCCTAATGGGAGGCCTGTGCTGCTCCAGTGTCCCAGTTGGTTCACATAACATTTTTTTTAACCTATCTAGACAAGGTGCTGCCAGGAATACAGCTATTTTACAAAGAGAAGTCAAAAAAATGTAAAGTGCACCTCTCTTCTGGAAACTGACTCTCTGAAGACAACACCATCTTACTCAGTAGATCAGCTCTTTCTATCCCATCTGCTGATTTCAAAAACATCAACTTTTAACTGCACTTGACTCTTGTTAGCCCTACAAAGGAAAGAAAGGGAACGAGCTGGACTATGTTTTTGTTTGTAAATGAGCAACAGAATTGATTTTCAAGTAGCAAATCAATTACACCTAGCAAATCTACTAGCAATGCTGAGGTTGCACAGTATCATCATGAATATAATTTGAAGGCAATGGAGTTACCCAGATATAACAGAGGACACATTTGACCTGCTTCATCTTTATTCTGTGCTACAATGCTTGGGAATGAGATAATCTAGCCTGGCAACAAGATAAGACTTTATTTTTACTTGCAAATTGAGTGCCCAGAACAAACTCCACCATCACCATCTCTGCTATTTTTCCTCATTCTCCTCTTTGTTTGCTAGGAAAGGTATACTAGAAAACAAGTTTCTATTTAAATTATTTTTGTATTATATTTTAAATTATTTTTGTATTAAATGTTTAAGATACAGTAGCTCTACGATATCAACCTAGCGACCCAAATGGGAACATTTTATAAGTTAATGTATGTAAAACACTTTGAAGATGGAAAACCTGTAAATGTGCTGAAGATTAATAAATGTCTCCGGTGGCCAAAGGCAATAAGTAGACTAAAAAACATGCCTGGTCATATCTTAATGCTATATTAAAGAAATCACTTGGCTACAAATTGGAAGGAGAGGGAAATCAAGGACTGAGAATCAGTGCTTCAGGTGGAGAGGTAAAAAGATAGATGTAATTAATTATACCAAATGTCCTAGGGTTCATTGATCAAAATTTCATTGTAACATATAGGTTACTATTGAAAGGTATAAGTAAAGAAAAAAAATTAAAAATATAATGGGATAGTCTGTGAGAAGACAATTTAATTTACTAGTTTGTGTAACTGTGAGAAATAAGTCCAATATTGCAAATAGGTTCTTACACTTTAACTGTAAATTATGTATTTTATTTAATAACAAGTCCCCCATCCAATGTTCTCAGAAAGCTAAACAAATGTAAATAGCAGTAATCCTATTTTTCAGGAAAGAAAACTGGCTCAGAGGTGAAGTGAGTGTCTCACACATCAATGGAAGAGTTAGATTTGATCACTTCCAATGATCAGTTCTAGATCATACTGCATTATTTTATTTAAATACAAAGAGTATGTGCATTATGTTTATCTTAATTCAAATTCTGCAAACAAAATCTTTGGCATAACTTTAAGGGAAGAAATAACATCTAATTTTTATAATTTCTTTCTCCTTCAGAGCTAGGCTCCCAGCCAGCAGCCACCATTCTCCAGTATCAGCACAAGCACAGAAGTAAGGGTAGAGTGCCACAACCACCTGACCCCACAATAATCTTGTGACCACCACAAAACTCCTTTTTAAGTCAGGATCCCTACAACTACAACACCATGACATTTCAGATTTAAATAGCTAAAATCATGAAATTTATTATGTTTAAAATCCTATTACTGTGACATTGACCAAAATGGACAGTGAATGTGATAGGCCCTTCTCATAAGATGACATTTCTCTCTGCCCATGAGGTTATCATTAAATTAGCAAAGGCACACAGAGCTTTTTCAGAGGAAATTTATGGATACTTGGCCTTGCTAACAGTTGTCTTCACACACAGAGCTGACAATCTTGGGATTGTGTATGAATTTCTTCTTGAAGGATACAGCTACAGAAAACTGCCTCATATTTTCTAAAACAGGATGCCTTATGTGTGTAACACTGTATGGTCCATATAATGTTTAATGAGTGATGAACAACCTTAAGAGAAGACTTGTGACAAAATGATGGAAAGAAAATTTCTTAATGTGGAAGATATTTAGAAGACAAGTTCTGAGGCTAACTTTGTCAGGGGAAAAACAATTCCTGAGAGTATAAGGCTCCTACCTGACTGACCCTATGATGTATAGCATTGAGGAAGGTAACCTTAAAAAGGAAAGTAACATAAGGAAACTTGCCTTGGATATTTAAAAAGAAGCTTCCTGAGAACTCCGAGAATGTGGTTACAATTCCATTTTCAACAGGCTTCTTGATTATTGGCCTGTGTTTTTCTGACTGTAGAACAGTGGTCGCCAACTAGTAGACTGGAATCTACCAGTAGATCTTGGAGTCTCTGA